AATTTCAGATGCCTCACAAACAGCCAAAGTCACAGACGCAACTGGTGCTGTGACATTGACAAAACCGTCGTTGTCGACAAAGCCTGTTGGCGCCCCTTGTAACCACCACAGCAAACCCGTCTCCATAGCATCTTTGTCCTCAAAATGCCCCTCAAGACCTTCACCGAGCTCCAAGATAACCGGCGTTGTTGAAAGTACCCTTCCTGGCGGCAAATTCGGAATCACCCCAAGCCACTCTGCCCTGCCCCCTCTCGCCAGAATCTCTCTCATGAGCGCCAGCGCCGCCTCAAGCCTGTCGTCATGTCCAAAATCTCTTGCATCCAGCGACACCCCAAACATGCCCATGATACTCAGAATCATATCCACAGGCCGATATGCCACCCGCATCATGGCCGCTCTCCAGATCGCCGAGGCCATCCCCTCCTTCCCCTTCAAATCCAACGCCCCAATCAGCGCATTCCTCTGAACCCTATCGCCAGGCCTGTTGTCTCCCACGATCAAGTTTATGTCCACCTTCTGCCTCACCTTCACCGTGGGATCATCTTTCGACACAGTAAGCAGATGTGTCGCCCTGGAAGACGCCGCCAGCAACAGCGGCAACTCGGCCATTCCCGCCCCTGACTCATCGTCTTCGACATATTCGACGTGCAGGGAGAACAGCGACTCCAGGATGCAGCCGGCTCCATACCGCCAGGAAAATAACACCTTGCAGCGGGGCGGCGCGATGGCTTCTTGGAGTGTCCATGCACGAGAAACCCAGTTGGTTTCTTCCTCCAGTGTGACGAGCCGTGACAGCCCGCCGGGGAGGATGAGGCAGACGCGGCAGTGCTGGTAGATGGAAAACATGCGCTGGATCTGCCAGGCTTTGTCGTCCTCGTCGCCTTGCTTGATGCAGAGGCCGTCGAGCCAGAGGAGGGGGCAGTGGAGTTGGATGGCGGCGCGGCAGGCGGTGCGGAGGGCGGGGAGGGAGATGGGATCGGCATTGAAGGCGGATTTGATGGCCATTGTTTGCGGTGGGTTGGAGGTGGGGTTTAAAGGGGGGACGCCTTTCCAAACGTAGGAGATGGCGACGTAGCGGTCTTTGGGTAGGATGTCGGTTTCGACCACACGGAGACAGGTCCCGTCGGCGAAGGGTCTGGCGTCGATGAAGCGGTATCGCGCTGGGGGTACTTCGTCGAGGGAGACGGGGCTTTTGGAGAGGGACTCAAAGGGAAGGTTCAAGACGCAAGTCATGGAGTTGACATCGCCGGCCTTTAAACGAAGGATCTTGCACTGTGACAGCAGTAGATGGGAGGCTTCTTCTTCTTTTTGATGAAGCATGAATGCTGCAACGTGTTCAAGCACGCCAACGGCCCTCTCGATGTACACCACCTGCGGCCTCACATCGTACATAGACTCCCAAAGAAAGCCGAGGAATGTTGCGTCGTCGACGAGGGGACGATTCTCGGCTTTTCGCAACGGCAGGTTATGCTCATCGTCCTTGTCCGGGGTATCAACATACAGGCTGTGCAAGATCATAAATACACTGCACCATTCATCCTCTGTGAAATCTTCTTCGGTTTGCTGATTCCAGTGCAACAGGGAGATGGATGTTGTGTTGCTAGTGTGACCGGGGACTCTCGATCTGGAGAGGATGCCATTGCTCAGCTGGAGAGGATATTGGAGTTTCCAGATCTCCCCCCGGTGTCGTTCCACTTTCCATCCTTCGATGAACTGCTTGGCCAGGTTGCCCTGGTGCTGCTTATCAAGGATTTTCTCAGGGGTTTCCATAGTACCGATGACAAACATGAATTGTCTGAGGTGAAAAAAGTACGCTGCCTAAACTGTCAGATTTGAGAGAGGTGTTGGGCCGTGGCGCGATGTGAGTGGCTCCAGTCCTGCCTCTGACCAACCAACCTGGAACCTGTCTGGCCAATCTACCTGTTGCACCATTCCCATATCTTTATAAGCGATGAAACTAACACTATCCTTCACATACGACCATATCCAGCTGAAAACTCGGGATCCCGTCCGCTCTCCCCTAGATAAGCAGCTGAGAGCCGAACTAGTACTCAGGTGGGTGACCACTGGGGAATCCTCGGTGTTGTATGTTTTTGATGCGATCTTGGTCAAGATTCTCTTTTTGATTAGCCTTCAAAGGCATAAGGATCGCTTTTGCTTTCCTCTTGTTTCTTCATTACCGTACATCTCAAGCTGCTGTTAGTTTTGAGTGTAGCAATATTTCGTACATGAAGAAGCACCGCATGCTCCTCGGCGTCTTAAGAGCGGACCTTGCTGATTTCCAGGCTGTTAATGTCTTGTTTGTATTCGTAGACTGCGGCTGTTCTTCGGCGATCTTTGCGTCAAGTATATGAAAATGTATGTTGCACGCCTTGAGGTATGAGGTTGTCACAAGGTCTCATTAAGAGCAAACGTGATGTGAAAGCCCGAGGACCTCGCTGATGGAACAAATCTGAGAATGATTGTAGACTATCTAAGGCAATATGCCGGATCAGCTTTGAGAGTACAACATCGAGTAGTGTACCCTGGATAAGTCGAGAACAGGGGCATTGTGGTTGTAGCCAAGGGTAGCACGTGCGCCCTAGCGTGACCGCTTATCTTATCAGTGACAGCCTGCAACGGAAATGCTCAATCGCGATTGTCTCAAAGACCTGCGATCAACACCTTCGAGTTCGTCGTGCAGCGCTGGTTTTCGTCTCGCCATGCACAATTGGCGCGCATCGACGAGTCCGCCACATTATGGCACCGGTGTGAGCACCCACCAGTCACACAGACAGCTCCTGTCTCGGCCACATGCCACCCACCCGCCTTGCCTTGCCATCTCCAAGCTATCTCAAGGTATCATGGTATCTCTCTCTTCGGTCTCTTCTTGCCCTTTGCTGCGGCGACGGTCTCTCGTCCGATCCCTGCGTCAACCCTAACCCGGATTGGGGCCCCAACCAGCCAAAAGGAAAAAGGAAACGCCAGGGAAGTCCGGATTCCAGGGTTTAAGACATGTCTGGCTATCGAACGTGCATCATCCGAAAACTGACTTGTCAGAAAAGACCGGCGATTTCGGAGCCCGTGATTGGTCACGTACGTCTTTGCGTGCCCCGGAATGAAGGACCCGGGGATGAACCAGCAGAAGCAACGCGGGTGCTCCCCCTCCCCCATGCCCGCCAGCAGCGCGCCTAGCACAGACAGGGCAACAGGTCACCGGCAGTGATTAGGTCCTCCTTATAAGGCGTGCTGCTTCCCAACCTGCATCACACCTCCCACCACACACACACACCCAAACGCTGTCGTTTTTGGATTGAGCAGATCATTGCATCCTGACGCCCGCGCTGTTCCTAGACAGCTGCCCGCTAGATCAGGATAGCATTCTGCTCAAGAGAGACCCCCACCAGGAAGAAGCTATGGCGACCATGAACCTGACGGCTCCTCCTGCTTGGGGTACCGATCCCGAGAGGGTCAGGGGCCCAGCCCTGATGATGGGGGCGCACGGGCTCTCGGCCAGATGCCCAACTGTGAGTCCATTCTGGTTGTGTCCCATCCAATAAATGCGGGGAGCACTTGGCTGACAAGAAACCTGGAAATCTGACAGACAGCGCCCAACGTCGACTTGTACTTTTCCAGTCTTGTCGGAGCCGGCAGCAGCAGTGAATGGGGTCCAGCAGCAGCCCAGATTCCCAGCTTTGCCGACGCCCATCCGCACCCGGCCCCCTTCGGCTTCCATTATGTCCCTGATGATCCCGGAGGCTTCATCACACAACAGCACCCCGCCTTCCAGTCCCCCAGTATCACCAAGCCCCCTCCTTGTCCCACCACCACCACAGCCGCCGCCATCGCCGCTACTACCGGACAGTTTGGAAACAACTCGTCTGGAAACGGCTATTTTCCCCATCATGCCCCCGTTGCCCCAGTCACGTGGGCGACAGAACACAACGCTGTCACCAGCATAAGCGAGCGCAGCCTCTTCTCCTTTCAGCACCAGTTGCGCCCGGGTGACACCACGATTCGCACCACCGACGCCCCATCCTTCTCGCCCGGTTCCACCCACAGCCCATTGCACTCACCGACCTTTACAGCAAGTCCCGGCGGGAGGAACGTCTCGTGGTCTGCCTCCTCATGCGCTTCGTCCCCTCCACCGCCTTGTGAAAAGAGCGGTGATGACTACTTTTCCACTTCTAGTGCTGTCGTCCCCACGGATCCCAACAACAGTAACAACAACAACAACAACAACCCCGACCAGCAGCCTGCGTTCAAACCGGGAAGTCGTGTGATTGCAGCATCCCCCATGACGGCGCAGAGCCAGACGCAGACGCTGGAGGAATACGAGAGCAGTCGCCGGCTGTGGCACAACCAGATTGGCAAGAAGTACCGGAACAAGCTGAATGAGCAGTTTGAGAACCTGCAGGTTGTTTTGCGATTGTATGACGAGGACGATGAGGACACAGACACGGAAGGCCCGAACGTGAGCATCAAGGGGCGCTCCATCAACAAGGCCAAGCTTTTGAACATGGCGAGGCAGAGGTTGGAGGAGTTGATGAACGAGAGGAAGGCCTGGAGGCAGGAGAAGAGGGAGCTGATGGAGAATTTGGGGATGAGTGAGGAATGATGAAAGGGGGTGGACTGAGACGCTCATTTTGGATAAAACTAGAATGGAGACTGGTGGTAAAGGTAATCATTGGTGGGAGAGGGGGATGTCACTCCTTTATGAACATTATTAGGTAGGTCAAGAAAAAGGAGGCGGCGCTCAATTAGAGATACCTTAGATGCAGGCTTGCTGGGCAACTTGTATGTTTTTTATTGCATGCGAGCCAGCGATACTAAAGCCTTAATAGTCCGTACATCAGACTGCAAGAACACGATAGGCCGTCTTTACTTTGTTCTCTCCTTGTTTGATCGGGTGCAACCGCCACAGTCCATTGTCCGCCAGAAGCCAAGGTCCACTGGTGGCACCGGGCAAAAAACAGCCCTCCTCCACACAGGAGTGGAGGTTGGTGAGAGCCAAAAAGTGATGATTGCTGTGAGATTCGAACTCACGCCTCTTTCGAGAGTAGAATGCACCCTCCCATTGCTGGGTGGAAAGATGGGAATCTTGAGTCTACCGCCTTAGACCGCTCGGCCAAACAACCTGTTGGATGATGAACAGGGGCGGAGGCAACGCCCATCACTGGGGTGCTGGCAAGACGACATCATGGTTTTTGAAATGTCTTGACACAGCAAAATATTCTTAATTCGAAATAGCCTGATCAGTAACGGGCTACCCCCTGCTAGGTGAGAATCATTGCTGTCGCGGTGAGTTGACAGACTGTGTTGGGAATGCCCTCACTTCACGATGCTTCAAAGCAGCACCCATTCTGTCACATAAAAAGGGACCGACCACATACGTATACTGACATCTCATCTTCCCTATCAATAATATCAAACTAAGAGGGGGTATAAGTACAGCCCTGTGCAGCCAGCACAATGATTACAATATAGACAACAACTTAAGCACGACTGTGAAGCTGAAAAGAAAATACGATTCAGAAGAAACACAAAAAAGGAACAATTACCAACTGCATGGCCCAAAACAGCCACTCTGCCCACCACGCAGAAATGAAACGAACTATGTGCAACCCCCCTGCTCAAACCATCCACCTCGGACTCCTGGGACTCCTCAGCGACCTCAGCGACATCAGACTGGTCCCGCTCTACGAGCCATCCGAGTTCCTCACGTCCGTCGCGCTCAAGTTGTCCCTCTCCACTCTGACCTCCCTCTCGACCATGACTCCTCCTCTGTTTTGACCTTCCTGGGCGGTGGCATCCGGCATCATGACTTTCTCTCCAAATGTAGGCGACAAAGGCGAAAAGGGGTTGTGATGTTGACTCGTGGGCTTCTCCTCCTCCAAAATCAAATCATCAGGGTGGTCTTTTCTGCTCTGGCGGCGAGGGTATTGCTGTTGATGTTGGTCGGCAGAGACAGCGACGTGGTTCCTGCCTTGGTTCAAGCCAGGGGCGTTGTAAGAGTTTGCGCTGCCGCGGCGGTCGTGGCTGAGGAGAGGGCGCTGGGTGGCCATGCTGGAGGTTTGATTTCTTGATCTTGGGTTGGAGCCCATGCTCGTGCTGCCAGTCGCGCCAGTGCCAGAGCAAGTTGGGGAGCCGTACGGTGACGGGTTGGCAGCTAGTCGTTGCGCAACCAGAACCCCCAGGGGAAGCACGACAATGACCGATGTCTGCGTCAACGAGGCCGACTCAAAGTTGGTGAACGAGGCGAATTCGAGCGCTGCAAACACCACTGTTTCTTGTCAGCCCCATCCACCGTCCAAAAGGAATGATTGAAGACCAAAAGCTTACCAGGCACAAACATCAAAACCCCATTGCAAATAACCAACACATCCATCGCCTTCAACCCCTTCCACCCCGGCAACACACTCCTCGTCTCCCACATGTGCATCACCAACCTCACGTTAAACAAGAAACAAAACCAGCAGATCCCCCCCGTCATCATCCCCAAGTACACCTGCCTCACCCACACCCCACCCCTCGGCACCGTCATCCCCAGCACCCCCCTCGCCTGGATCACCGCGCCCGCAAAGTTGAACCCCACCGTCACCAACCCAACCCCAACGCTCACCCCGACAGCAAGCCACTTCCACACATCCCTCCACAGGCTCAGCATGCTCCACGCTTGCACAAACAGCGCGGCATAAATCAGCATCGTGACCGGGACAGACAGCACCGTGGCCGCAACGGAGATGTTGATGTCATTTTGGGACACGGCCGAAAAGTCCCCCAGGAACAGGGCCGTCAAGGAGGCCCAAGAGGAGGGGTAGAAGAGGCTGAGCAAGACCATCCTTGTGGTGTTGAGCGCCAGGGCGAGGATGGAGATGATGGTCGGGAGGCGCTTGAAGCGCGGGAGGGGGGTCATGAGGAGGACGACGGCGAGGATGGAGATGCAGGCGCCGATTTGGGAGCCGTAGAGGATGGATAGGGAGGAGGCGTCGGAGTAGATCTCGGAGACCTCGGCTGGGGTGAGGGGGACGGGGGCGAGCTCGCCCGAGGGGCCCATGGGTGTGAGGAGGGTGAAGGTTTGGGTGGAGGGCTGGAAGGCTGTGGGTGGGGGCCCTGGGGCGGTGGTTGGGGTCGACATCTTGATGGTGGTGAGGGAAGAGAAGATGTGGCTGATTTCCCTGATCTTGGCCTTGTTGGTGTTGCTGAAGATGGCGCGCACTCGTGAGTGGGCCTGGTTTGCCTCAAAGTGAGGATATCGCGATGTAAAGGAGGTAGTGATCGTTGATACTGAGGCAACACCTCAAGACAAAGAAAACGTAAAGAGAGCTGTGAATTTGGCTGAGAGTCCACGTTGGCTGTGGTGTTTAGTGGAAAAGAAAGAGAAACTGGAAATCCATGCTGGCAAAGTATTTGAAGACAGAGGAACTGGTGATGGTGAATGGCAATGTAAATAATGGCTGGTGGGTAGGCTGTATGTAAATATTTCTCCTTTTCCTAGGATTGTCTTTGGGTGGTAAACAATCCCAAGAGATCTGGTGGAAATGGAGCAGGAGCAAGCCAGGCCACGAGGTTGGTGCGTGGTCACATTTTGGGGGTCCAGCATGGCTTCAAAGAGGGAGCGGCTCTGGGCTGGATAATGCTATCAGAGTTGAGGACAATGAAAGCGTCGTGGTGAAGTTGGACCATTGACTTTGGGCTTGGTGGTGGCCGCAATGGTGTGTTTGGGGTGCGCTCTTAGGATTGTTGTCTTAGCATTGTTGTCGACCCAGACCCACAATTCGCTTCACCACCACAAGCTGATTCAATTTGGAAAGAGGTCAAGACTGACGAGTCGCTTCAGACTTCTGATGAAGATGAGAAAGCAGGAAGCTCTTGATTGATTCTCGCATTTTCTTGTCTTGCTGGTCCGGCCTGGTTCGGAGGGAAAGTCGTCTCGTCGACCTGCGCGATCCGATCACCTATCCGGTGAGAACTAAAACACAGCAGTTGTTGTGATGAGATACATGGCTTGGGAGGAGGGATGAAGAGGAACACTTCGCCATCAATGTCGTGGGATAAATTGCTTCATGATTTCACAAACCTTACTGCTTCAAAATGACGCCATCTCCGGAGTCGAAGGGAAGAAGTCGTTATCCGGCCCGGCCCCACATGTCCGATAACGGGGTGAGCTCCCCACTGTGCCCGATGCTCCCCGCGACTCACATCATCAAACTCCCGTCCATCAAACTCACCTCACTAGCCACTGAGTTTCATCCCATTCACTTCACCTCCTATCCATCTCAATCCCACCCACCCCATCTCATTTCCCCTCACTTTGGCCACAAATCTCAGCTCACCTCCCCAAAATGTCCCTCATAGCCATCGGCCAGCTAACCTCCACCTCCTCCCTCTCCCACAACCTCGCCCAATGCCGCACCCTCGTCGCCCGCGCCGCCAAACTCAAGTGCAAGGCCCTCTTCCTCCCCGAAGCAAGCGACTACATGGCCTCCTCCCCCGCCGAGTCCCTCTCCCTCTGCCAGCCCACCAACAAATCCGAGTTCGTCACCGGCCTCCGCGCCGAGGCCAAAAAACACAAACTGCCTATCCACGTCGGCATCCACGAGCCGAGCTGGACCGACCCCAAGAACAAGATCCGCAACACGGTGATATGGATAAATGAGAAAGGCCACATCGTGCACACGTATCAGAAGGTGCACCTGTTCGACGTTGACCTGCGGGAGAGTGGCGGGCCGGTGTTGAAAGAGAGCGAGGTTGTGGAGGCAGGCGATAAGGTGGGCGAGGTGTATGAGGTGGAGGGGGTGGGGAGGGTTGGGAGCGCTATTTGTTTTGATGTTTGTCCACCTTTTTTTCTTCTGGATATACCGAGTGGTTGTGCTGATTGATGATGGGTATGTAGGTGCGCTTCCCAGAGATGGGACTGGCGTTGCGACGAAAAGGCGCCGAGATCATCACTTACCCTTCTGCGTTTACGGTTCTAACAGGCCAGGCTCATTGGGAAGTGCTCCTGCGGGCCAGGGCGATAGAGACGCAGTCTTATGTCGTTGCTGCGGCCCAGATGGGCAGACACAATGAAAATAGGACTAGCTACGGACACAGCATGATTGTTGATCCATGGGGAGAGATCGTGGCCGAGGTCAAAGGGTGGGAGTATCCAGAACCAGAGCTCGCCACTGCTGTGATCGATAGGGAGTTTCTGGCCAAGGTGAGGAGGGAAGGGCCGTTGGTTCGGAGGACGTGAGTACTTTTTACAGTCTTTGTGTCACGGTGGTAGTTTGCTGACGCTTGCGCTTTGCAGAGATGTTTATCCAGAGGTTTGATATCAGTGTCGGTGAAACTTCAATAGGGGCTTGGCCCTCCCAACATCAACACTTGTTTGCAGGGGGCTGTGCCACATTTGCTCCGGGTTGTCTAGCGCGGGTTGACTGCCATTGGCGCCAGTGAGGCACACCACCACGACTTGTGGCTTCGGCTACCTTATGCACGCGCTGCTGCACGCTGATCAACATTCGCTGGGTTGCTTGTGTAGACGAGTCCTTTGGAGGTGCTTGTTCTCTTATGAATGAAAGAGATTGGAGGTGTCCAAGTACTTTAAAGAACAGAATAATGACATGCAGCTCGATTCAATTTGGAAATAAATGGCCGGCGAACCTGGCCGCATTTTGGACAGCACTCACCTCTGGTACCACGTCGTGAGGCTCTCTTCCTCAGCCCTTGGCGCCATCATGCAGGCCGGCTGGCCCAAGACCAATACCGAGAAAGCCAAGAGGCCGCCATCTCCAGCTGGCTGGGAGGTGTGCTGCTGAAAACAACACCATGCCCAACCTTTGATGTGTTGCCCCTCCGCGTTTTCGCGCCGGACCACAACCAAAATGTCGAGAATACCAATACAAGGCCTTTTCCTCCTTTCAACCGTCGCTCTCATCCCTCCAGCCCACGCCTTCAACTTGAGCGAGTGGCTGTCCAAAGACCCTTACGAAGACGGCGGCACCGTCCAAGAGCAAATCCAATGCTACGCCCTCCCATACGGCGCCATTGGAATGGCTAGCCATATTCTGACCTACTTCACCGCGTACATGCTCTCCCGAGGCCGGAATCCAATTCTCGTCTGGAAACGCCTCAACCACCGACGGTTTAATCT